AATTAAAATCTGTAAGTTTGAAAAGTAGCAATTTCTGGTCTGCACAATGGTAGTCAAAAGTGCTCATACACAAATATTTTTTTTGCTTGAAAAGTTACAGAGCTACAAGACTGAAACTTTCTGGGAATATCCAAATGGACTATCTCTACATGTGGGAAAAAACAGAACTCAAATATCTGCCATAGATCAAGAAATAATTTTGGTCATTTTTCATGCATATAGGCCATAGGGACCAAATAGGGACCAACTTTGCCAAATATGCCAATTTCTCTCATGTTTTGGTCTTTTCCTACTAATTGGACCACAGGGAGTTCAAAAAACTTAAAAAAAAAACAATTAAAATCTGTAAGTTTGAAAAGTAGCAATTTCTGGTCTGCACAATGGTGGTCAAAAAGTGCTCAAACACAAATAAATTTTTTGCTTGAATAGTTACAGAGCTACAAGGCTGAAACTTTCTGGGAATATCCAAATGGACTATCTCTACATGTGGGAAAAAACAGAACTCAAATATCTGCCATAGGTCAAGAAATAATTTTGGTCAGTTTTCATGCATATAGGCCATAGGGACCAAATATGGCCAATGACCAACTTTGCCAAATTTGCCAATTTCTCTCATGTTTTGGTCTTTTCCTACTAATTGGACCCCAGGGAGTTCAAAAAACTCAAAAAAACCAATCAAAATCTGTAAGTTTGAAAAGTAGCAATTTCTGGTCTGCACACTGGTGGTCAAAAAGTGCTCAAACACAAATAATTTTTTTGCTTGAAAAGTTACAGAGCTACAAAGCTGAAACTTGCTGGGAATATCCAAATGGACTATCTCTACATGTGGGAAAAAACAGAACTCAAATATCTGCCATAGATCAAGAAATAATTTTGGTCAGTTTTCATGCATATAGGACATAGGGACCAAATATGGCCAATGACCAACTTTGCCAAATATGCCAATTTCTCTCATGTTTTGGTCTTTTCCTACTAATTGGACCCCAGGGAGTTCAAAAAACTCAAAAAA